CCGCGGGCGCGGTTGGGTGTCGGCACTGCCCTCCGCCCCTGAGCCCCGTGTGTCTGGGACAGGCGCCCCGCTCCATGGCCCCCCCCGTGGGCTCTGGCTGCACCCACGGAGCCCCCCGGCCCCCAGGCCGGGTCCCAGCTCCCAGGGGACGTGATGGTGTGGCCCGGCCCCTGGCGCGCGGTGGGGATGGACCTGGATGCTGCCTGTGCCCACGTGGCCCTGCAAAGGGGAGACAAGACTGTGTCCTGTGAGCCTTCCTGCCCTGAGCCAGGTTCTGCGGCCCGGGGCGGAAACAGTCCCCGGCCCCGGGGGCCTGCAGGCCGGGCAGGGGAGAGCGGCCGGGCAGGGTCAGGGGACGGGACGGGTGTCCGACTGCAGCTGAAGCGCTGTGTGGCCATGAACCAGGCAGGCTTCCTGCAGGAGGGGCACTGGAGCCGGGCCTGGCAGAGACGGGGGGAGGGGCGCTCCGTTGGGCTACGGTGAGCAAAGGCAGAGACCGGGCCCGCAGCACCAGAGCGGCATGGTGGGCTTCGGGGCCCCAGCTGAGCCGCCCCTCGCCTGGACCGCGGCGCGGGGGCGCGGTCCCACCTGGCCTGCAGCCCCAAGCGGCCCGCCGGGGTCCGGCCCCAGCCCCACCTCGGCTCACCGCGGGCTGCCCCTCCGCGCCACCTGGATAATGGGAAGATGATGGAGGAGCCCCGCGCCCTGCTTCCTGGCCCCCGGCCCCTCCCGCCCTCGGGTTCCCCTCTGCCTCCGCGGGGTCCTTCCAGCGCCCCGACCGCAGAGCCTTGGCAGCACTCGGCGGAAGCTGATGTCCCTGGTCCCCGTAAGCGCCCCCGCCGCCCCGCTCCCGTGCGCCCTCACGGAGCACGCTGTACTCACTCACCCCGCGGCCATGCTCCAGGCCCGCCGGGTGCCGCTCCTGGCCGTCAGGCGGCCGGGCCCACCCCCGGGGCCGAGCACCCCAGGGAGCCAGGGCTGCAGGGCCAAGGGCCGCTGCCAGGACCCTGTGGGCTCGCCCGCCCCCCACCCCGTGCTGCCTTGTGGTGGGGACACCGACCGAACTCAGGGCCGCTTCTGAGGGCCCACCACGTCCGAGGGGCATGAGGGCGCTCCCCCAGGCCGGGCCCTGGCAGAGTGGGCAAGAACAGGCGGCTGGGGCCTCCCTGCTGGGCCGCTGCAGGCCAGGCGCTAAGCCTCTCTGTGCCCCGGCTCCTCGTGTGTGGGAGGGGACCAGGAGGCAGACCCCGACCAGGGCCCAGCCCCGGACAGCTCCGAGCACCCGACTGCCCCTGAAAATCGGGTGGGGACAGGCTTGTCCCTCGATGTCCGGACGCTCAGTGCCTCCCGTGGAACCATCTCCAGGAGACCCAGAGGGGGAGACATTTCCATCTGCTTGTCAGATGAGAAAGGCCTGTGTTTATTTTCTCTTCTCCTCAAACAATAGATAAATGAGTAATTTGGCTTTTAATGAAATTCTGCACCCGGCAGCACGGGGTCACCCTCTCCGGGTCTGAAATGTGTGTGGAGGCCGCAGGCGGCCGTGTGTCCGGTACCCTGGGCTGACATTCTGTCTTATGCTTAATTCTCTGGGGGCGGCTGGTCGCCGAGTGGCGGGGGGCGGCCGGGGGGCGCGCTTGTTAACACAGTGCTGTGGGGGTGGTTACATTGCAGCTATTAAATGAGGCTAATGCCTCCCCGACACACACGCCTTTAATGTATTCCAGAGATGTGTGGATGCATTAAGAGCAATTTCCATCTCCAAATGTTCCCACTTTGTCAATTTCATGCATAAAATATTAGCCCCATGCCACCTCCAGCCGGTCGCACAGGGAGCCCCCCATCACAGCGGGGGTGGGGGGGTGGTGCTGGACCGGGCGCCAGTGTGTCTTTGGCGCTATACTGGGGTTGGTCACTTCCTCTGGGGCTCTGGACCCCCTGGAAAGCGGGGAGAAAAGCCCAGAGCCAGCTGATCTGTCCCTGTGGAAACAAGCCTCGGACCCTCAAATGGCTGCAGGGCAGCAAAGCCAACAACCAAATAGGTTTTCACACAAATGAAGACTTTCTAGCACCGATGACCACCTTCACCGCTCCGCCCCGACACCCTGAGTGTCTCCTCAGTACCAGGTACTTTCCTGGGACTAACGCGATAAAGCTCCTGCCCCCAGAGGCCCTGTAAGTCAGTCAACAAACACTCACCGTGCCTTACCACAGGCCTGGCCTAGGGACCAGGGGGGCACAGGATGGAAGAGCAGTCCCTGTCCTGAAACATGTGACGGGCTGTGGGGGAGAAGGAAAGGTGATGTTAGGAACCCCGGACGGTGAGTGGGGAGGGCTGGGGTCATAGACCGATGTGGCGTGGGGGAGAGAAAGGCGGGGGGCTAGGTCACCCACCAGGGCCTCGGGGATCCCGGGGTCGAGAGGGGGACAGCGCTTGGGGCGGGAGGCCAGTGAGGGGGACTGAGCCTGAGGGAGGGGCTGCAGGGCGGGAGGGGGGCTGGGTCCCGGGCGGGTGGCCCAGCTCTGGGCACAAGCAGGGTCAAGGGGACAGGCAGAGCAGGAGACCAGGGCATGAGCTGGCAGGGGCCACGGCAGGGGAGGCCCAGCCCAGAAGAGCAGGCGGGATGCCAGGACGTCGCTGGCACCGCTGACCTGGGCTGCCCGGACGTCGCTGGCACCGCTGACCTGGGCTGCCCGTGGGCTCTCGGGGGCCTCCGGAGCACTGCGGCTGGAAGACTGGCAGGCCCGGTGGCACGGGTCCGCAGGCGCAGGTCACCCTCCAGAGAGCTGGGGCGCCGAGGCGGCAGCGCCCGGCGGTGTCAGTGCCGGGAAGAGGTTGACTGTATAATATTCATCGTATAGAAAGTGAACACCGCACAGGCAACCTGTTTCAGGCACCGCGGAGCGGCGCACACTCCAGATCTCCAGGCCGGAGGCGGCGCCCGCCAAGACCGGCGCTCTGCGCTCCGAGGCCGCGGGCCTGTGAGGCTGCGCCCGCCCCGCCCTCGCCCAGCCCTGGCGCAGGAGGCATGCGAGGCCCGCCCGAGCGGGGGCGCAAACATGCCGGACGACCTCTGCAAGCAGCACGCGGGGGCCCGCCGTCGTCCCCGCCATGCTGGGGTGACGGAGTGGACGTGCCTCGGGGGCGCGCCATGCTGCGGCCGGTACGGTCAGTGTGCCAGGACACGGCCCCAGGCTGCCTGTGCGGCGCCGGCATGGGAAGCGGCCGGGCCCCGAAGCCCCTCACAGCCGGGGCGCTGCCAGGCCAGCCCCCCACCCCCGTCCGTGCGCCCACGGGCGGGAAGCTCCTCCCGGACGGCCGGGCCCGAGGCCAGCAGCGGACACAGGCCCTGCATGCACGTACCCTGGAGGCGCCGGTCCGGGCCTGGCCTGTGGGGCCGCAGGTGGCACTGAGGACAGGCCATCTGTGTTATATTCGTCATTAATAAAGCGAACTCATCACAGACAGCCTCTCCTCAGGTACCCACAGTGAGGACAGCACGGTGGGCTGCAGGGCGCGATGCTCGCCTCCGAAGCCGGCCTGGGGAGGACAGACACCGGGTGAGAGGCCGGGGCGGCCGCTGCCCTGCCTGGCCCCTCTGGCCCCGCCCAAGGGCTTCATCGCCAGGTGCTCCAGGTGAGATGTGATACTGAGGAAAGATCAACCATGTATTATTCGAAGCCAATGAAGCGAATATAACACGGTCGATCTCCCTTCAAGCACCAGGAAGGTCTGAGCCGAGAGCCCGCCCCGGCCAGCCCCGGCCCAAGGCTGCGGCGGACGCGGACGGCTAGTGGACCAGGTGAAGTACATTTGGAACAATTACTGTCCAGCTGGTCGACCACCCGTCCTGCACCCCAAGTGGCGCTGCGAGAGACGTGCTTCCCCGGCCCGGGCCCGAGTTGGCCCCTCTGGTGGAATTTATACCGAAAAGGGGTTCACCGAGCAGCGTTCGCCATCCAGACGCAAAGACGCTCGGGTAACCTCTCCCAGGTACCACGCCTGGACTGAGGCGGAGGATTCCAGAAGACCTGCCCCGAGGGGCTCGAGTGCTGGGCACTCAGGGCTGGGACTCGCCCCACGGCCCCTGCCACGAGGCCCGCCACCTTCCTGGGGGGAGCCCACCAGACACCCTTCTGGGGCAAGCGTGAGGCCTAGCAGGATCCAGAAAGTAGCCGCCGGTGTGGGCGCCCAGGGGTGCCTGACGTACCCCTGTGGCCCCAGTGTCCTACCTCGGGCTGCCTGAAGCTAGGGAGGCTGCTGAGGGCCCGGGGCCTTCCCTGCGGGCACCGAGCCTGGTCTGGGCCCAGCGCCCCGCACTGAGCTCACGCCCCTGCTCACGCCTCCGCTTAGCTTCCACACCCCAGAACCCCTTACAGGGCAAGTGGACACACATAATACCCTGGCCATTTGACCACCCTCATGTGCTGGGCCAGAAAAACACCCAAAATTAAAGGAGTGAAAAAGCAAGTGGACGCGCAGGTGACCCCTTGCCAAAAGTGGGCAGGGCGGCCTGGCAGCCAGAGGCCCGGCTTCCCGGAGCCGACTTGGCCCGAGAACTCCTGGTAGCGGGGTTGGGGTGGGGCACAGCGCGGGCAGACTGGGCCCTGGGCCTGCGCCCGCTGTGTGGACGCGGGAGGGCCCGAGGCCAGAGCCCTCCCTTCCCTCACATGGGCGCGCCTCGGCCGCACCGGCAGCAGAGCTGGCCGCCGGGGGCCTGGTGCAGGGAGCCTACGCAGACCCCTGGCCCGGGAACCGTGGGCACTGACCTCCCGCTCCGAGACTTCTGGAGCCGGCGTTGCCTCCAGGCAGTGCTCGCAGGAATGTGCTGGACTCCAGCGAGTGGACGGATGGCACAGGGCATGGAGACCTGGGGGCACGTCCCTGGGCTGAGCCCACGCGCCCCGGAGGGCTCCCGTGCTGGCACCTTCCAAGGGTGCTGTGGCTTCCGCAAATCCCCGCGGTGGGGGATCTGGAAAGGGACACCCCACCCGCACAATCGGGTCACAGGTCAGCATGCCAGAGGGGCCCCTCCCAAGCACAGCTTGGGTCCCAGAGGCCGTCAGGCCACCTCCCCGCAGCCGGCCCCCACCACCTGCGCGCTGCTGGGGTCCGCGGAAGGCCGCCCGTCTGCGCTCCCACGGCAGCGGCGGGGCGTCGGGGTGCACGCACTGGTGATGGCACGGTCCCGGCACACGTGACCCGCACATGCACACGCCGTCCAGGCAGCTCTCTGGGGGTGGGGACGGAGAGGGGAGCTGTGGGCGGACCGGGGCACCTCTGCCCCCCGACCCCTCAGCCCTGTAAACTCGCCTGAATTCAGCCGTCTGGTGCGAACTGCACCACCGCCGATCTTCGTGAAGCGTCTCCGAGTGCGCGCATGACCTGACCCCCGCCGCCGAGCTTTCCCGACTGCAGCGGCACTGTCCTCATCTCTTTTATTCCCTTGCTATTTTCCGGAAATCATTCTCGTTAGGATCAATTCTTTCCCATTTAGCAGTCTGAGTGAAGGCCGGGGTCCTCCAGGGCTCTCCCGGCACCGGTACCCGGCCCCGTGGGCTGGGCCCAAGCTCGCGGCCAGGCGTGGCGAAGCCTGCAGCGAATCCTCCGCCAGGCTCCAGTCAGCTGCCACGTGTTCCTCTAGGCCATTCGGTTGTTTCGGTTTCACCTTGTGTTGATTATTTTTACCACGATAACTTGACCGGAGTGAGGTGAACTACCGACGGGCGTTGGGCCCTTGGCCCGCGAGAAGACGCGCCGGGGCCCGGCCGCACCTGGCTGCCGGGAGCTGCGGGGCCGAGAGGCGGGCGGGGCCTCCAAGAGCCACCGGGAAGCTCACGCACGTGCTCAAAAGCATTTTCGGGGAAACAGCGGTGGGTGAGGGCGACGGGGTCAGAGGTCGGATGGTGACGGAGGGGGCCGGGCGAGGAGGGGCCGGACCCGGCGCGGACACGCCGGTGGCCTCCGGGCCTGCGCGCCTGCCCGCACCGTCCGTGCCCACGGGCGGCGCCCCGCGGCCGCCCCGTCCGTCCTGGTCCTCGAGAGAGGTATGGCCCCCGAACTTGCCCGTGGGTCCCGGAAGCCATCCCAGGCAGGATTTGATACTCAAACAAAAGTTGCCTTTGTGTGATTCAACATAAATAAAGCGAATTCACCAAGGGCAACCTCTGCTCAAGGATCAAACATGGGCAGCGCCAGGTGCCTCTCCGCAAGGCGGGCGCTCGGGCCGCGCTGCACCTCCCCCTCGGTGCCGACACTCCCTCCGCCCTCCGGACGCCGGCGCCACCTCCGCGGAGCCGCGCACCACCGCAGGGGCGGCGGGAAGGGCGCTGGGACGCGCCCCGGGCCCAGCAGGCGGGCAGACGGCAGCTTGGGCCAGGGTCCGGTCACTTACCGGGCGAGGAGGGCACACGGAGGCCCCGTCCCAGCGCCGGTGTCTCCGCTGGACGTCCCCGATGAGCGTCCATCCGAGAAGCAGAGGTTTAACACTGCGCAGGGCTGGGGCCCTGGCGGGGCGTCCGGCCTGCGGGGCGGGGCTGACCTGCAGCGGGCTGTCCAGGGCAGGAGGCCCTGCCACGTCCCCGGGCAGCACAGGTGCGGCTCCCTCGCGCTTTCTTCCAGGGGTCTCGAAGAAGAACTGTCAGCCAGCCACATGCTCGCTGAGGGGCGCTGGGCCGGGAGGACCGGGCAGTCGCAGGCAGACCCGGGTCGGGAGGGCGATGCAGCCGCCACGGGGGTCCGAGGCGCCGAGTCTGCGGCCCAGCGCCCTGGACGCTGCCTAAACCCTGCGTGCGTGTCCATTTTCTACTCCGGTCCGTAGGCGAGGCGTCGCCCCATTTTGCACCCGGTAACTGAGAAACGGACGGGGCAAGTCACGTGAGTTTCCCGAAGCCCCCGTGGCCAACAGACGTCAGGTCAGGGAGCAGCGGGCGCCGCCCGGCCCTTCCGTGACGCAAAGCTGCCAAGGCCGCCTGCGCCCGCTGCGAGGGCCGCCCCCGTGGTCACCCCGAGGGGTCGACACCTGGGGCACAGTGACAAGGAACTCCTGGGCTCCAGCCGCCAGGTTGCGGGGAGGCCACCAATTCCCACGCCCTAGAACGAGCCCTGAAAGAGGCTCCCCAAACCCGGCTCCTCCTCTGACGGCTCCGGGTCACGACTCAGACACGCCATGTCCCCAGGGCGCGGCAGGGGGCGCTGGCGCAGCTCCTTACCTGACAGGCGCGGGACTCCCCTTGCGAAGGCCTCCCAAGAAGAATTTAGTACCGAAAGGAGATTGGCCATGTAATACTCATCATAAATAAAATGAACACACCATGGACAACCTCCATTCAAGTACCCGAGCGGGACGCTTGCTTCCGGCGTGACGGGACGCGGGCCCAGGGCGGCGGGCCGGGGCACAGCCCCG